CAACACAGTTTTCAGGGAGTGCTTTAATGGAAAGCAGAATGCCTTTGCACACATCTACAGTCCTGATCCTTAAGGAGTCRGGATACTTCTACAAGAGGAATCAACAGTACTGAGCTACTGAAGTCAGTTCCAGAAAACAAACAAACAAAAAAACTCAAGCCAGGTTTCCTTTGTTTTTAGTTAAATTCTAATTTACTTGTTTTATGGACTGAAAAACAATTTAGAAATTTATATAACTGTGAAATATGCTCTGCACTATCAACGTGCTTGGTCATTTGGCATAGACATTTGCAATACTCCTCTTTAATATGGATCCAAGTACAAGTTGTTCTGGAAAGCATTCAATAGAGCATTTTCATCTAGAGCCAGAATGCACCAGTTTTCTGTTTCTATTGTCTTCTGTACTTTATCTCATTAACTAAGGAAATGTATATTAGCYGCAGCATTTTAAACTTAATTTTATTTAGTTTTACAGGTGCGCTAATGCATTTGGATAATCTTTAAAGAAAAGAGTTGTAGGAAATGTAATTATCTGCAGTATTATTTCTCAAGACAATTTGTAGAACAAAGCTTAGGTCAAGAGAAAAGCTGATCAAGATGGAAGTTTTAATCTTTACTAGCAATCTAAATGGAATCCTAGATCCACAGTCTTCAGAGTTTCATATCCCAAACTGATGTTACATAGAGAACTAGTTCACACTCACCTCTAAGTGGCATTTCCTAGACAGGTTTATTGTCCGTATGCTCAATATGAAACCATTGCTCAGGGAGTATTAATCCCAAAAAGAGATGAAATGGCTACCAAGCTGTTCTCCAAACAAAAATAAAGCATAATCCTGTTTCAATTGTCAAGTATAAAGCTATACAGAATTACAGACTGCCTTCCTCAGAAGGGATAAAAAAACACAAGAATACCTGACAGGCAACATTCAGAAGGGAAGAACCATTCAAACTGTTGCTAACCAGTAGCTAGGGTTCATCTGTGACATCTTTTGAAGCAAGTCTAGATAATTAAGTTGTAATTCATATTTGGTACTGAAAAAAGGAGCAACAAGGCAGCAACTGTTACGGGAATATGATTTGTAAATAGTAACACATCACTGTGATGTGCACAGCCTTGCTTTTGATTCCTGAAGGAAAAGCTTCCAAATTTTTTTTTTTTTTTTTTTGGTCTTTTTAAAAGGTACTGAATTTAACAAGCCAAACTGACCTTTCTCTAAATGAACACAATACTAAAGTTTCTTACTATAACTTCTCATCTACAAAGAGTTTTCTTTTCAAGGCTTTTTAAATCTAGTAGAATTCAAAAAAATAAAACCTTTTACACACAAAAGGTGACGATGTGACTACACGAGGCAGACCTATGCCCAGGCTATATTTATACCTAAAATATACATACTTGTATATAAATACRTATCTAAAACAAACATAAAACCAAYACCAATTCAGCAGAACAAGTTATTTGAAACATTTTTGTTGTATTACTCTAATTTTTACTTTAAAACTTCCATGTAACATCTGGAGAGAGAACAGACATGTTTCTATCCATCACCATTAAACCAAGAAAGTACGGAGAAACAGAATGTTCTCTATTCCATTGTTTCTACTTATTAAAAAGACACAAGCCTGCCTGTCTGTATAATACATAACTGCCCATATTAGTCTCAAACTCTGTATCTTATTAAGAAAACAGAATATTATTTTTCATGTGTTTTCCAAAGTTAAATACAAATTGATAAAGTCTGGCAATCCTGCTCATGCCTGTCATGTCCCTGCTMTGTCAGCATTTGGGAAAGTCTGTGTTGCTCCTGCCAGTTAGCTTCTACTGGTCAYAGCACAGGTAGCAAGTGGTCATACACACCAGTTAATATGCAGCTTTATTTTTGATACATGCAGTTTCAGAGCAGCTGCAGCTTAGACCTCCAATATGATGGGAATTGTTCTCCATCTATTTCTTGTTGCACTGTAAGTTGCTTTTGGCATCCAACTACCTGTCTTGATCAACTGAGGAAAGAAACACAAATTTCTCAGAGCACTCTAGATGAAGTCTAGCATTGTATGGGCTGATCTGTCACAAGTAGGACAATGTCATTGGGTGGAGATGTCAGAAAAATAGAGATCATATTGGTCTGGTTGGGAGTGAAAGCTATTAAAAGATGTAAGAGGCACCACTTATTCCTAGTTTGCCCTAGGGAGAGCTACTTGTTCCACGAGCTCTGGATAGTTTGAGTTCCTGCATTTTTCAGAAAGTTATACTACACACTCATAGGTGGGGATTTTTTTTTTCTCCCCTTAAACTTAAAAACCAAGCCTTATACTTATTCATTAAAGCTCTTCTCCTGAAACAGGTTTACTTTTGCTTATTTCAAGTGTCACCTGTCTAAACGTTCTTTTTAGGAAGAGATGTACATGATTGCATTGAAGTTCATTCCGAAAAGAACAGAAACTTAATGGGCTCTTGAATAGACACAGACCAACATAATTCATCCATTTCCCTCAGTAAGTCAACTGCACATAACACCATGCCAAGTACAGATACCRTAAATAGCTACTAATGAAATGACCTATCTTTAGAAGTGGTCAAGTTAAATCAGTGGAATTATCTGCACAGGCTGATTCATCTATCCMCTGTACTGTGTTCTGTTAGCACTCCCCTCATTACAGCAGCTTGAGTTTCACTCTTYCGAACTGATTAAAAGCTTCCCTACATTTTCTGCCATTAAAATTTTTGTTTAAGCAAGTCAGTCTTAAGGAAGTATTATTTAAAACCATTTTCCTCTGCATGATTAAAACACACACACATATATAAGTAAATACATGCACACAGAGCACATATTCATGTCCACAGAGGAACTTTAACCAAGCCTTTAAGCATATGCCTGCACACTGAGGCCTATGATGTTGACTTAATGTTGTTTGCAGTAAGACTAATAATTTTACTTTGACCAGTTTGACAAATTTCTTGCTAAAAATTGGCACCATTTAATTTATTGTTCATAGTTACAATTCTGGGAGGTAACTATATCCCAGAAGATCCCACATTGCCATCCTGCTCCATTTCTAAATGGAATTTCTAAATGGAATCACAGTTCAATATAAGYACTTCGCCCTGTCTTCACTGCTTGCAGAATGTCACAATAAATTAAACCAAGGAGTTGTCTGCAATATAAACACTTGATGATTTCCAATAATTTTATAGTGTTTAACTAGCTCCATATATCTTATAAACTAGCTCCATATATTCAAATAAAAGAGCAAACCCATTCTGAAATCATTCATCTGTTTATAAGAGCGATCTTTCTGCATGAAAGACRACACTATTTATTCCAGCAGAGATTCCATTGGAGAGTTGCACTAAGCAAAGTTAGCATCATGGATGCTTAGAAAATGATGTTTTACTATCTAAACAAGTAGAAAATTAATAGGATTCAGAATAACATCCTATTCTTTTTCTATTCAAGAAATAAAAGGCACTTAATACTGGTCTAGTTTCACTCACATTACAGTTCCTCCTACGGCTTTCAACAAATCTACCAATACAGCAAGATCATCATCCAGATTTACAAAAGGAAGCATCACTTTGATAAGACAGTTCACCTCAGAGCCCAGGCCACATTCTCTATGTTTTATTATTAATTTCCCAAAGATATATGGGACCCATCAATCTCCTACAAACCATTCAGGTAGGTCCTCCCAATCAGGAAAAAAGTACTAGTGATACACTATCCATGGCAAAGCTGTTCCTTACATTCCTCCTATAGTATGTCTAGACAGTCTAAAGCTGTCAGGGAGTTAGAATCCATGAGTTAAAACATATGAGTTAATGTAAAAAATAAAAATAAATGTTGATAACATATGAGCTAAGACTTCAGATCAAAGAACTCAAAAGTATCAGCAAAGTTGTCTGTACATTATCCAGATCCCTGCATGCAAATCTCAGCTGGGCATCTGTACCCTGTGCACCATGCGGCTACATAAAATGATTCCATCTTTTCCTAAAACACTATATTCCTATGAACGTGTAGAAAAATATGGCAGTAATTCTTCCCAATATATGCAAAACTTGTGCCAAACCAAATAACTTATTGCATAAGTGCCAATCAAACAATCAAAACAAGACTGGTGCTACCAGGCATCCAGGTCATAGTAATACAAGAAAAACAAAGCAATAAATTCTTGCTCTAACACGAACACAAAATGGGGAGTGGGAAGGTATAAGGCACAAGAGRGCTTGCAAACGAAATGCAAATAAAATCACTTGTATACTATAATAAGTGAAAGATAAGTGCAGGAGCATTCTCAAAGCTGCCAAAAATAATTATCTTAGAGACCAAAATAAAAAAGGTGACAAATASTTTAAATTGTGCGGTGGTTCAAAAAAACACTAATATTAAGAAAAAAAAGTCTTATCAGTTTAAAAGACAGCAATTATATTTACAAGTTAACCTTCAGACCTCTTTACTCCCTTTTTTATTTTAGAGTTCTATAACAAACAATAAAATACCACAACAAAAACGTTACAGGGATTTAAATCACTAAAACAATTACAAAACAAAACACTTTTGTAAACACTAGTTTAATTTATAACTTAATACGAAAAACATCCAGGGGAAACTGATACAAATTTGGCCCTTTGTTCAATATACAACCCCACTATACAGACTGTGGGCTTGATTTTCTAAACACAGTCCTAAGACAGACACACTGTTACATAACAGATTCCAGCATGTCTCCTATGAACTAATGCCCAGATAACTGCTCCTGCTCCCAGGAACCTCTTTCTCCTGAAGAAAAGTATCTTCTCCTGGAAGTTTTGCTGGGTCATCCTTAAGTTAAACTTTTTCTAAACCACTCTGATATAAAAAASGCAAGATGTCTCAGAAACAGGAAGAGGTAAAGCTAAAAATCTTAATTTGAAATTTAACGTGCAAATTAAGGCATTCAGTTTCCAGGCATTAAGCATCCAGGCACGGCCACCTCTTTGACATTATGTACAATACCTGTTATGCTTTGAGATGCTGGAGAACCAGGAACAAASTATCAGCCACGTTGCTTTGATTCTACCTTGCTGCATTGAAAACACTCTCACCTGTAAGGTTGTAAAAATGCCCTGTATAAAGAGATTAAAATATCCTTTAAGTGCAGAGATGGGCACAGAAGGAAGTCAAAACATTGGGATCATTTCATTTTACGCATTGAATGAGAAGGAAGAGAGCTGCAAAGGAGTTATTCAGTCTTACACTCTTGGGCATATGCTTCTACCACAGATGCATACGCGCAGGCCATCAAAGATAGAACTGCTTTTGAAGATCAAGAACTGCCCTCAACATTTACTAAATAAGGACAGTAGATCTACGCTCTGCATTATTAAGTTTTCAAATGACTTAATAACACAATCTGTTGCTAATGAAAAAGTGAATGTGTTGCCAATTTTGTCAAATCTATTAAGAGATGTTTGAAGAACACGCAGAGAGAARAAGAAGTAAAAGAATGGGGATTGTCTACAATATCCTTCCCAGTAAGGATCCTATTTATTCAAATTTCACTTGTATGATGCAAAGGATATAATTGTAATTATGACAGCATACAAAATCCAAGTAACTGAACTGCTTTTCATTACTGCTCTGTGTGTGACTAACATGTGTCACTAATAACAGCAGCATGATTTTAATATGGTGTGCTATGCAAAGGCATTTGAAAAGATCTGAATGAGAACTCTTGGTATCTRTTTATCTGCAAAATTTTTATTTTAAAGAGCTGAAGATAAGAAAAAACAGTTCTGACCTTAGCACTCCTAAACRCGTTGATGAATGCTTTGTCTAGTGCATGTGGTGTGCAAGTGGTGAAAGATGAAGGGCAAGACATCAGAAGAATAGGGAAAAAAATCCTGAGCATCAAGAAGTCCATGTGCTCTRGCGATACAACAGATACTATCAAGCAACTAAGAGGCCAAATTKCAGTCTGCTTCAGCAACTGGGTCATCTAAAAAGCAGTTTCAAATTCTACTACTAATGAGTATTTAAGACATCTGAATTCTCTACAGATATTCTGTTTTAAGTGAAACAAGTAAGACAAAAACAACAGTTCCAGTATTAAGCACAGCTCTCAAACATAACATGGAAAATTATTATTAAAATAGGCTTTAGTGTGTTATTTTCATATCTAAGTTATCTGACTAAGAACAAAAATAAATACTTGGCTGATTCTTCTACGTAATACTACATAATAGGGATGTAATCCTCTGCATTTTCTTCTCCTTTACCATGTGTTGTTCTCCTCTACCATACACACACAAAAAAMCACACCTGATACCAGTGTTTTAATTTAACAGATTTCTTTCAGCAAGCAGGAGTACTTGTTATTAGACTTTCAAGTCACAATAAATGAATAATAAATCAAGAGCAACTGATTTGACCTCCTTTGAGAAACTTTCTGACTAGCTTCTCAAAGGCCCTCATTTAAGAGCAGACTATCATACATCAGCGTAAATACCTTGACTGCATGGATTTTCTTTACATTGCCAAGCACTGCACTATGAAAACTATTAAAAGATCAGGTGCCAATTGTTTGCTACATAGATTCACTTCATAAAACATAGCATCTTTCACTGTCAGATTAAGAGATGATCTCTCTTGTTTTCTGCAAGTGGAACAAATTGTATTCTGTAGAAGTCAGTCACTCCTTAGAGAAAGTTACCTGATGGACACTAACAGAATATATAAATATTTACAAAGCAATTTGACTCTCAAATACTCATCTGTCTTGAGTTAAGCACCAAGCCTACTCATATTTTGCATTACCCTGAACTAACATTTGGCTGGAAAAAGTATTTCTAGAAATAGAAATAATGTGTGAAAGATTCAGTTTCTTTATCAGAGAGATCATTTTTGGTCTCTTCAGAAGGGATACTGAAAATGAGCAAGCCCACATCAGTTTACAAATAAGATTTAGGAGATGAATAATATTGTATGCTTTGGCAGATTAGCTTAATTCAGGATGCAAGAATGAATAAAAGTTGGAGCAAATGGTCTATAAAAATGCTGAGATTGCATAAGAGATACAGCAAAGATGAGAAAAATAAACACAGTTTGTGACCTGAAAATGCTACAATTTTAAAAACTCAGCAGCAAACTAATTGCTGCTCTCATCAGCTGAATTTGTATTTAGAAAAATAATAAAAAACCTCTTCCTAATTTCTGATGTTGCAAGCTTACCCTCCTTCATAAAGCATATTGAAATGTTTAGAAAGCAAATCTGATRTGGAAATGGAGCTTTTAGAAGTATCACTACGCATTCATATTCCCAGTTTTAGTCTTTGACTAAAAGAAAGAAAAGAAAAAGAATTACGACTAATATTGTTGTTCATACTGCTCAATGAATGCTTAAAGAAAAAAATGAGTTACAAAATATAGATGAACAATAATCTAAAAATACTCCTTAAAATTTCTGAATATAAAGATGAGCTTGAAATGACCAGAATTTTTCAATTACTTGCCAGACTCATTAGTATTAGCAGCAGTATGAATCAATAGCCAAACTGGGTCTTCAGGTATAATTACATGAAGATATGATCAAGATATAATTCTAATCTTGTCAAAGAGAAAAATAAAAATAAATAAGTATCACTTAGTGTTTCCAGTATATAACTCAAATTTCAGTATGAAAATGAAAAGTTACTAGACTTTGGTGAAGTATTATTATAGTTACAGGTTGCAGTAACCAACCGTGATGCCATTTTCTTATACCCAAGACGACTTGAACACTTGAGACTCTTTGTTGTTCAATTGGTTATCCCTTCCTCTGGCAAAACTGCAATATTAAACATAAAAGAACATTCATTACATGTTCATGCAAAACACCTGAGGAATACACAGTTTTCACTAAAGAAAGAGTCTTGCTTCATTAAATCCTAATGTTCATGAGGTCGAACAACATCATTAGATTTACACTGAAATAAACTTAAGTGTTCTATATAGTTATTAGCATTTCCCAGTTTGCTAAAAAGCACAGCTGATTTGACAAACACCACCACCTTCTTAAAAAATATTATCAGCTCTTCCTCAAAGTATACGTCTCTCATCTGTCTCATAGATACTACTGCAAATGCTACCAATTTAATGAATTTCACAGTCCTTTACCTAGTTTTCAACTTCAAAATGTTAATTAGCTAGTTGTCTACATGTTTTTCATCCTGAAACATAACCCCAATTTACAAAATATTTAAATGCACCTTGCATAAGCTTCCAGTGGGAAATACTTGAYTTTCCCAAACTACAGTTTACAATTATTACTTGATATTTCTCAGAAGTATCCACTGATCAAGCAGTCCAGTTCCAGGTTAAAGGGATAGTTTCTGTAACATTGAGGCTAGAAGTCTATTTTCCAGATTAAATACTGCTCCATATAAGTTGGAAAAATCTTGCCCAGCATTCTTGGTTTGGAGTTCTTTGGCTGGAACAGGCTCTTTCCACTTCTAAGACACAGATGGGCAATACTTATTCTATTAAAAAAATCATTCACAGCCCTACATTCAATAACTACTACGTTTTATGACTTTCTTTGAAGCTGGGACATGTAAAATAACTTATTTTTAAGAAAGCATTTGTTAAACCATGTTTTTTCCCCCCTCCAAAAATGATCTATCACTTTATATTACTGTTACACATTAAGTAAAGGCAAAGCAACACAAGTTTTTCAAATCAGACATCTTAAAATACAATACTACAAACAAAACTCTTTCCTTAAATTTATTGCTTTTTCATATAAATATTTCACAAACATCAGTGACTCAGAGACCCCACACACTGTTTTGTACGTAACACGTTAGAAAAAACTTTAACATTCAAATATTTGAATTCTACAGCTATGAAAATGATACTAGTGACTTTAAGCAAAGCTTTCAACTGGAAAATTGATAATAGTCAAGAAATCACTGATGCTTTTGCATTATTTCTTTCCAAAACTAGCATTATGAATATTAGTTCAGAAGACTGCTTTCTGTAAAGTAATGCTAGTTATTTATAGTTCTTTAACAACATTTACATTGCATCTCTATAGAAACAAAAGACATAACCAACATCAACTTCAATTTGCATATATTTTCCTATGTTTTGCATGAAATACAATGCTGCTGCTTGCATTCACACATGRATCCTTAACACATACATTAAAAGGTCCTGTCTAGTAAAAGGGAAGTCTATGGTACAGATGTACTATTCTATTCAAGTTTTGCACTGAAATATTCATGTTAGTCATTAAACTTCATGATGGGGAGGTTTGTATGATCAGATAAATAAATGTAATACTTGGGTACCTATTAAATGCAGTTGCAAGAGTGAGGGAGCACTCATTTTACTTTCATGTTGGAATAGAGAAGTCACTCACCCAACTGCCTTAAGGTGATTATTATGTAATTGGAACTGGCAGAACTCAAACTATGCTTAAGTAGCTATGGTAATTTAATTTCTGTAATATATAATAGAATATTCACCTTCTGTCCCTATTCAGGCCCTTGGATTATGTCCAAAGGATTTTTAATACATGGGTGGGGAAGAGAAGTTTGAAAAAAATCAGACATCCATCTTAATATCTACAACAGGAGGAATTCTATTATGCAAAACAATTATGTTCTGACTTCATAAGACTGTTTTATAGTATATTTGAATCACAGATTGGAATATCAGAATCTAAAGCTGTACTTTTCAARTGATCTCATTTTGGAACAAATGAAAAAATGCAAGAATATCTTGAGTTTTGAGTTTTTGATGTATTAAACTAGAAATCATTTTAGCACTTGGATACTAATGAATCCATACATTTCAAACAGTAACTACTTCAAAAATATATTAATGAACCATTTCATATAGCTCAACAGTTGAGTGGTCAGATTGACAGATGCTGAAAYGATCAATATTCACGTTTTGGAGTCATTAAAGCAAGTAAGCTCTGTGATAGAATAGCAGTAATGCCCGTTGTCAAACACTAAGGAAATAATCAGCCTACACCGAGTTCAATACTGAAACCAAGTGACAGGTCCAARTCATTGTTATTTGGCATTTGACTTTAAAGAAGCAATGAAAATGCAAACATCTCAAGGAAAGCAATAGCATACATCCTTCTGGTGCACATGCTAAAAGCACCAAATACTTCAAGAGGCAGCACTTTGAGTGGTACCAACCACCACTTCCCACACATGTTCAGTTCACTGAACTTTGCATTACAGTTAAACTGGACAAATCACATATTCAAGCTGTGTGAACATTCATGATGTTCATGAATGCAAACAAACTAAAACAAACTAAAAACTGCAAACAAACTAACTGCAACAACAAACTAAAAACACTACACAAACATTAGTGCAGTCTGAAAGGACTGCTGGGTCCTTTCAGCGTCAGGCCCATCAGAAGCCTAAGGCCCACTGAGGCATCCACTGAAGCCTCTTGCTCTGATCTTCTCTTTTGTTGCTGTTCAGTACAGCACTTGGATGATGTTTGCACTTAACTGCAAGCGACTAGAAGTCAGTATTTTAGATGTTTCACTCTCCTAGRTCTTCTGCATTGCAGTATTTCCTGAGCTACAGAACTTCTCTGACATTTAAGTCAGTCCCACTTCCCCTACTAGTCACAGCAGTCTGCCACTGATAAGCTCAGTATCAACAACAAGCGTAGGAAAAGGTGACTTACACCACAGCAGTAGAAGTTATATTGATTTATAGTCATTAGTAAGTGAAAATAATGCAGCTTTAAAGCAAAAATGCAGAAACAAAAAGTACACATTTATACAAGCCTAGATTAATTGATTTTTAAGGGATGATGACAAGGGAAAAATGTTGATATTTAGGCATGTCTGTATTCCAAAATCTTTGTTTTAGGAAAAAAAGAATGCTGAAGGCATAGAACTCCTCCCAAAAACTGAAGAAGTTCTTATACCACTCAAAGATAATTGCTCCTACCAGCAGTTGTAGTACAGTCTCTCCAAAGAGCTCTAGAAACTTCTTTTCAGCTAAAGCTTTAATGTATTGTTGCTGTTCATACTTGAAGAAACATCCACAATTCTAGAAATAAATATATTTATCACCATAAGGACATAAAAAAATCACAAGTTTTGTTCAAACATCCATTTTCCCCTTTAGACTCTTTCCTACTTCATGCTGCCTTTATGGAACTTCTTCCAAGATTCTTGACCTTTCTTTGCTGTCGTGGTCCCTTTCTGCTTTGACTGCCATTTGTTCCTCCTGAGGAACACACATGACTTCTATTAACACTGTAGTGTATTTGATGCCTGAAAGACAATTTGTATAGCAGAGAAAACAAATACATTGTACTCAGTTCAGAATACAATAGTTTAACAGAATTCAAGATTTACCACTGCATGTGGTATATCTGTATCAAATTACTGGTATTAAGTTGAAGTCAGATTTTCCTGCATAATTAGCATTTCCTGGGTAATGCCAAGACCTGACTAGTCCCAGAAAATTGAAGGTTTTGCACACTTTCCACAATTACAGTTTGGGAATACATTCACTCATAAGGATGGGAGGGTAAACACATAACGGACACACAAAAAAAGGAAAAAAAAAATCTAACCTGGACAGAGGAAAGAAGATAAATAATGCATAGCTATGATAGAGGAGGGGAAGTCAAAAAAACCCTGCATTTTTAAAACCTTTTAAAAGAAGTTTAAAAACTTTTTTTAAAACTAAGTTCTGGTTGGGAAAACAGAAGTCTGCTGAGCAAGTTTCATATTTAAGTACTTTGTTTTTGCACTTCTGAACTTCTTTGATTTAATTTCCTTCTGTAGTGACCATGAAACCATGGAAGGAATAAATACACAACATCTCAGTTTAATCTCACAGGGCTTATTTCACATAATCTTTAAAACAGAACAACAGAAATAAAAAGAACATGCCAGGTTTACTCTTTTTAGTCATCAAATGTTCAGAAGAACAAGTAATTAAAGGGCCTACAAAAGAGAATGAGCATGTTAAAACAACAAAAAAATGGAGACAGAGATACTGATTTCMGCAATAATCATTGGCAGAAGTAACTTGGAAACGACCGAAACCATTTTTCTGCATTTTTACTGAAAAAGGAAGAATCTCTGATGAAAGCAGAACAGAGAAACCAAACCAGGTATAACCCAGATGAAAAGCTGAAAAAATATACAAAAAAGCTCTTATGTTTCAAGTAAATTCTGCTAACTCTTAAACCCAATGGAAAAAAKCATCTTCCCTTCCCTTACACTTAAACACATTTGCCAGTTTATTAGCCTAACATAAATGCCACAGGCCATCTAAATCAAACTACATCCACAATAAAAATCAAATTGCACAAATACAAATACAGTGGGATAAATAACAGTCCAAAAGGAAGATTAAAATAGTGAAAGAAATCATTGGGAGAAATAACTAGAAACAGGAAGTCCTAGAAAATATGAGGAAAAAAATCTAGAAAGCAGAAGGTGAATTCCTAGAAAGCAGACAATTCTTGAAAAGTTTGGGGAGAATTCTTAGACAGCTCTGGTTAGATTCTTGGAAAGCAGAGATATATTTTTAGTAAGCATAAGAAGAACTCCTAAAAAAATATAAGGAGACTTCCTAGAAAGTCAAAGGGTATTCCCAGAAAGCCTGGAAGAAATTCCTAGATGCACCAAGAAAATTCTTTCAAGGCACTGCAACAAATCCAGTTCCCAGGAAAAATATCTAGGAAACATGAGAAAATGCCTTGCAGGCATGCAGAACTGCAGACATTCCTGGAAAGCAGGGAAACTTTTAGGAAGGAAGAGAGGAAAGCTTAAAAGCACTAGAAATATTCCTGTCAAGTCTGAGGAAAATTCTTGACAAGCACAAGGAAAGTTCCTAGGAAATACAAGGAGAATTCCACAAAAACACTGGGAAAAAAATCCCAGAAAACATTCCAAAGAACTGTATAAACCTGAAAATTCCTAGAGAACTGTGCAAATTCCAAAGAAGCATGCAGGGAAATTATAATTTGTAGCTACTAAAAGCTTCTGCGAATCCAACKGAGCTAATTTGTGTCAAATTATTCTGTATAACTCAGAGTTATACTCTGTATAACTCCTACCTGGGGTTTTCACAGAAGAAAAACACTCAAGTACAAAATATGTACCTGCCATTTGTCTGAAATTAATTATTCTGATAGAATCATTGCATAATTTAGGGAATAAATGTGCTGCTGACTTAATAATGTGCACTAGGTACTCCACAGACTCTACTGAAACAAACCTAATTATATCAACCCTTTCCTCTAAACACCTTGACTACCTGTAATAATACAGTCAAAGTTCTGTATGCATGACCCACTTATGCTGGCAACAGAACACAGGGCATAAATGAGGAAAAAGGCCTACATTTTTCCATACAAGTTCCATTGCAACAGAATGATATGCTGAAACATAGACAACCAAACATCTAAGAGTAAATAAAACGTGCTGAAGATGAATATTGACAAGTTTTGATACGACTGTTAAAACAAATTAGCTGCAGATGTCCATTTTTCTCTTCTTCCAAAGACATGTCAAAAATATGCTGCATATGGTTGGGCCTCAAGTCATCCTCAAGAAAATGCAGTGCCTTAAAAAAAAACTTAAGGTAACGTACACAAGCTTAAAACTTAGGGTATAGCTTAAGGTAAGCCAAAGGACTTAGCAAAGGAAGGATTCAAGTGCAGGCACATAACAATCTGCAGTGACACCAGTAAGCTTTAGCAGAGAAGCAGACAACATTATCTGAGGTGCAGCAGCTTCCCCTGAGCTTTTTGGCAGCAGCCATGAATTTTCCAGAGAAATGCAGGATCTGCCTCACTAGCTTGCCCATTCAGAATTCCCACCAAATGCAATGGGAACTTTTCTGTTTAAGCGTACAAGACTGAAAAATAAAGATACGCATCGCAAAATGAAGTAAACACACTGAGCCTCTCAGGAGACATGCAACTATCAAAAACCTTTTTCCTGTCCTTCTCTAACCGTGTTTTTAGAGTTTACCTGTGAAGAAGATCTGATATAATTAAGCCTGGTATTTGAAGTGTGAAACATTCAGGAAAAGTGGAATTAACAGCTGGTTATAAACTCTCCAGCAAACACTAAAACCCTGTCCAAAAGTATTTATGTGACATGTATCCATATTAAAGCCGCTATTAATTTGTCAGAGCTTTTATAGGAAAATCACTTCTGATGCATACTAAAGTTATCCAATACATAACCAGCTATATATTGTTTACTTTGTATAGAGAGATTTGTCTTACCAAGACACTGTTACTTTCATATGTGAATTAAAACAAATTCATAATGATGAATAGCATTTTATTCCATCTACTATCAAATACATCCAAATGAAAAACAGAAATGCTATTCTTTCTTTTGGCTATAGTATTGTAGGTTCTCCTTAAAAAGGAAGCAAACCTGGCCCACTAAACATGAAAGCAAAGAATAAAAGAACATTCTTCTCCAGCAATAAACAGCAACAAACGCAACAAAAAAAGCAGGAATGTTAATGAAAGCAAAAATTATCTGAACACTCATTGTACAACTTATTCAGTTTGATTTTAAAAACCATCTGTTGAAAAGCAGCAAAGACAATGCTGATTATATCTGATTTCTCCAGGAACTGATAATTACGCCCCTGAAATTAACAGCTCTGCAAGGAGAAATACAGCCATTCTTGAAGATCAGCTGCCATCTACTGAATGATAAGAAAATTGTTTAGAAGATTTTTCTTTTTTGACAAATAGTTTAAAGTAGATTCTTGGTGAATGATGCTTTTTTTTTTTTTTTTTTTTTGTTCATCAGTAGTTATTTCAGGGGGTCCAGAAATGTTTCAGGGGCAAGACTATTAGAAGATATTAATTCCAAAGGAATGTCATTCAGCAATCTCATTTCCATAAAAAGTATATAAATGAGGTCTTGATCTTGCAGGTTTGTCTAAACAGAGATTCCTGAACCCTTCCAGAAAGTTTAATTAATGATTTTTGTGTAATTTCACACACTTTGTGTAATTTCACGCTCCACTTTGTGTAATTTCACAAACAACATAATTAACATAAACTGAGACAAGGTGAGATTGTAACCAAATGAAGTCACAGATTTACCAGACCTACCTCATTTTCCAGCTGCCTATTTCAAGCCATTTTTTGCAATGCTGTAAATATTCACATGGTTGTGCAATTCATGAGATTAATAATTGGTGAAGCCAGTAACTAACTCACCAAAAAATATAAGCTCATCTTATTTGCAATACTCACATTTTTCTGAATAAAGGTASGATGAGTATTAAGGCTTAAGGGTAGAATCCCCTCTCACACTTTGATCACAGGACTAYGATTTACAGAAGGTACAAAGATTACACAGTGTTGCTTTGCTACTTATCCAGTTGTGTTAGTAGAAATCTATCCAAAGTAGACCAGCTTGCCTGTGTTAATAGCTGGAAAAAAAAAAGAAGTTACTGATACATCATTTTCCCAGGGAAATACTCACCTGCAAACAATTATCAGCATAATGGAAGATTAACAGAATGTAGATTGTCTTCTGAGGTTGCCTTAGATTCACTTCAGGTGTGAAAATTTTAGAAACAAACTCTCTTATGAAACACTGAGCCATAATACCTAATGTTATTAATAGACAATATCTTATTTCATAGACAGTATCAAGTAAGTAAAAACAGAAGAAAAGGCAAATGTACAGCACCAACTTCACAAATTGATAGTAGCCTTAACTGATTCTGTCAGGTGTCCTGTATTTGAGATTTCCATGTTAAATATGTGGCTTCAAAAGAAGATTGTATGTACTAAGTAACTATAACTACAATAAAGCTCTTCACAAAGATATTACTATATACACACTAAAATGTCAAATAGCTTGATTTTATCTGTGTTCTATTACACTGAGGGATCACCTGAAAGTCATTTATAATAGCAATGCACAGCTTATTGCACTTTAGAGTTTAAGGCTGTAGGCTAAAGAGTTATACAATTAACTGAAACACTTATAAAAGTGAACATTGATAACAGATGCATCAGAGCAGCACATTACTACAGATTTAAGCATTGCTGAGTAAATTTCTGTGCCCCCATGACTTGCATCAGCAGCTTCTCAAGTCAACGCTGTGTCTTCCCCATCTCCTTCCCTCAACCAGCAGCTGCAGCAGCCTCAGCCTTGGGTCTGCACGCGGGGCCTGAGCCAGCAGCCACGGCCGGGTGCAAGCCCCAACTTGGGGGAACGCGTTCAAGAAGCGCTGATGGAAGCTGAAAAGGGGACAGTCGGAGGGAGTGAAAGAGCCTCGTGAAGAGCCACTCTGTGGAGAAAAAGTGCARGGCAACGACCCCTCCATTAGTACCGGCAGGGGAAGGAGGAGGAGAGCAACGGCTACCCCGTTTAGRACCGGCGGGATGGGGACAACGACCCCTCCATTTACCACACGCGGCCGGGCGGCCCCGCCCCGCAGCGGCTCCACCTCACAGCCGCTCGGCCCCGGCGGCCGCTGTGAGGAGCGCGCGGCCCCGCCCCGGCCGCGCATGCGCGGAGGCGGCGCGCCGGGCCGCCCTCCCGGGCCGGGCCGGTTCCGCGCTGAGGCCGGGAGCGCGTGGAGCCAACGGAGCCCTCTCAGCGCGGCCTTTATGGAGCCCGCGCCGCTCAAGCTGCTCCCGCTGGATCCGGGCGACGAGAGCAGCCAGCGGTGCAGGCTCGGGCCGCGCGCGCTGTCCCTGCTGGGCGCCCGGCTCGGGGCCCCGCTGCGGGTCACGCTGCCCGGCGGCTGCTGCGTGTGCACCGCGTGGCCCCGGCACGACCGGGCGGACGGCTACGTGCAGGTCGACCTGCTGTGCAGGACGGCGGGGCTCACCGCGGCGGCGCTGAGGAACCTCGCGGTGGACGTGGGCCAGCTGCAGCTCTTGGCCTGTCACCGGTTAAAAAAGGCGGCTGTGAGAGTGGTGCTGAGGAGCGCGGCGCTGAAAAGAGCAACCCCCAGGGGCATGCTGCAGGAGGTAATAAAAGAGCTGCTTAGAAATGTCTATGTTTCTGTCAATTACACCGTTGCAGTTGCTCCATCTCAGGAAAATCCAGTGGTTTATATCGAAATACTCTCCACAGACCCTTTGACAGATGAAGCTGGGCTAGTAACGCCCCAAACAAGYGTCAGAATTAAGGAGGTGCTCACGTTAGAGTGGTACAGGCACTTAACGGAAGACACMGCGCACGCCTCGGTGGCGGGACTGGACGATGTGGGAATGTCTCTGAAGGAAATGGTCGATTTGCCCTTCCGCTTCCCGAAAACGTTCAGGAAGCTGGGACTTTCTGTCCCAAATGGAGTGCTGTTAGTGGGCCCCCCAGGTGTAGGGAAAACCCTTCTGGTAAAGGCAGTAGCTAAAGAAGTGGGCGCCTATCTGCTCTGCATCAGTGGCGCGGCCCTGTACGGCTCAAGACCCGGAGAAAGCGAGGAGAATTTGCGAAGAGTTTTTGAGAAGGGCAGAGAAATGTCCCGGGAAGGACCCACCGTGCTCTTTATTGATGAAATCGACTCCTTGTGCCCAAAGAGAGGGAGATCTAACAGTGCTCCTGAGGATCGGCTTGTTGCCCAGCTGCTAACATTGCTGGATGGTGTGGGCTGCAAAGACAGGATGGTCATTATGGCAGCAACAAACAGGCCTGATGCCTTGGATCCTGCACTGAGAAGACCTGGCAGGTTCGACAGAGAGGTGAGCAGAACTTTTTCTTCCTTACCCTCCTTTGCAGGATGGGTATAATCAAAATAATTACATTTTTTGGGGGTGGGGAGAAGGCTACTTAAAAGTACTTGAGTGCATTCGAGCATTAGCACTTGCATTATTTTTCAGGGTTTATTAGCTGTTGAAATGTATGTTATGGTAGTGTTTTTCCAAAGTTTTACTAATACATGAGCATTTATCTAATTGTGGGAATGTTGAAGAACTGCTAACTAGTTTCTTGTAAAATTACTTAGACAAGTGTAAGAAAGTATAAATCTTCAGTAAGAAATACAGAGAAAAAGTTGCTTGGCTTATAAAATGAGAGGAGTCTAGTGAAATACCTAATTAATTTATTTCTGTTTTGTTTGTTTTAGGTTATTATTGGGACACCGACATTTTTACAGAGAAGATCCATCCTGCAGTTGCTCACAGCTAACATGCCAGTTTCTGCAGATGTTGATCTGGTTAAGCTGGCAGAAATGACCACTGGGTATGTTGGAGCTGACCTTACAGCACTCTGCAGGGAAGCTGCTATGCAGGCCGTGTTCCAAAGCTCTCCGGTATGGCTGCCAATTAATYGAGGAGGTCATTATTAATATGAACCACCTTTTCGCCATTCGTAGTCTGCTTTACTTGAAATGCTCATTAACTTGAATCATGAATTAAWATACTGAAAACAAACAAGTTTATAAATATATGAAGGTCTATTTATATTTACAGCAACRCCTTTGTAAATATATAGCAATTTTGTCATAAATCTTTAGGTTTTAATAACTACATCTTTATGCCACTTGAAATGAGGTGCCTTACATTCACATTACACTGTGAAAATATTAATTTAGTTAGTGAAAACTTTTGTGATCAAGAGAATCCAGAAATCAGTTGCTGGTTTCAGGGTTATTAGATACATTTTGATTTGCTCAATCCCTGCATAATCATAACTTAGAGAAAACTGTTTTATTTTTTCCTAAAACACTGAATTACGGTTTTTTTTTTTCCTGTATGTGTATGTGTAAAAAACAAAATTTTAGAAAGAACACACACTACTTTGTATATAGTACATAAACCTTATTAGGGCAGAAACTCGATTTGTTATTAATTTTCATTTGGCCTTTGTGGAGTATTTTGCATACTAATGGAGCATGATAATGAAGCATATAATCATTAACCATATAAGATATTACTTATTTGTTTCATATGGGTTTCTTCAGGATTCAGCGGAAATTAGCATGGCAGATTTCCAAGAAGCTTTTAAAAAGATTCAACCATCCTGTTTTCGAGGTGCTGTTGGACTAACAGAATGTAAACCTGTTACCTGGGAGCAAATTGGTGGTCTTGAAGAAGTGAAACTGAAATTAAAACAGGTAGTGTATAAAATGTATATAAATAAAAAGCTAGTTTATAATAGCCATCTCCAGAGTATTCTGTATGTTCTATGAGGTACATGCATTTCCTCGCAAATAGTATGTTTACCATTTATAGTAATTATTTTGTAATACATGAAGTAAATGACAAGAACTGTAATAAGCCTCTTGTTCTGTTCCAGAATGAGAGGAAACAAGAAGTAACTCTGATAACATCTGATATTACTCCTGCTTGTATTCTGCTTGTATGTATGTGTGTATATATACATACATATATATGTTTTTTATATATATATTACAGCCACACGCTCCCAAAGAGACCCAAAATAGTATGTATGTGTTAGTTTCAAATTAATGTTTGCATCAARGAGAGAAAATATTGTGCTTATCCATATTATTGATCTTATCTTAACTCTTGTTCCATTACTGAGAATGTTTCATATTTTTTTTTTTATGTATTGACAGAGTATTGAGTGGCCTATGAAGTTTCCTCAGGCTTTTGCTAGGATGGGCCTGGCACATCCAAAGGGTATTCTTCTCTATGGGCCATCAGGGTGTGCTAAAACTACACTAGTAAAGGCTGTGGCCACCAGCTGTCACTGTTCCTTTCTCTCTGTAAGTGGTGCTGACCTCTTCTCGCCTTACGTTGGGGATTCAGAGAAGATTTTGTCTCAGGTACAGCAGTTTTTAAATTGTATGAAATCTATAGTTTGTTCCTGACTGATATTTATAAACTAGTAGTCAGGTCTACAATTCATGATCAAAAATTATAGGTAAAACTTAACTGATTATTAAGTTATAGATTCACATTTATATAAAATGAGAATCTAGATCTGAAGTGATACCAATTTTAAACTCGAATCCGTTCTGCCCTTTTGTTTTCAGCTGACTTAGCTTAGTTAAGCATTGGTTGCCTATATTAAGTCTCATTAGCTCTCAGCATTCTTTGTAAATACTACGCATGCATCTTTAAAGTTAAGTAATTAATTAAATATATAGTGTTTAAGTTGCTTACACTTTACAGAATAGAATATGCGTTAACATTTTACTTTATGAATCCAAAAAAGGTTTTTCGCCAAGCACGAGCAAATACTCCAGCAATAATATTCCTGGATGAGATTGATTCCATCTTGGGATCTCGGTCACACTGTAAAAGCGGCCATGGTGTCTCGGAGCGAGTTCTTTCTGTTCTTCTCAATGAGTTGGATGGAATTGGACTGAAAGTCACAGAAAGAAGAGGAAACAAACTACAGCTTGAGGGTGAATGTGAGGAACAAAGTGATGAGGAGAGGAAGGTATTTATGTTCCTTCATGTATATAAAGAACAAGAACTACTGGGGTGTCACGAAACTGKTAGTTGTTGGCATTCACACTTTTTAAACTTAAAATCATCAAGCTTGAGACATTAGAACAGCATCTTAAATCTTTTGATTTCTAGTTTTTCTTACATGCTATATCTATGCTGTAAACTATTTTTACGTATAGAGTTGCTCAATGAAACTTTTTTGAGGGGAGCAAAGGAATGGAGATATTTGAACAAAATGAACTAGATAGCACTGCTAACAGTTGCTTATCTGTTACAAAAATTCCCTTAATAGTCTGTATTTATTATTACCAAGATGAATATTAATTGTATTTCTTTCCTGCCTGAATCAAGATGTTTTATTTCCCAAACCAAAATAAAATGATAATAATGAAAGGAAAGTGACTATATATGTAGATGTATTTTTAAAATTTCTTCCTATGATTAAATAATGCCTTAGGATAAATAATGTTCTAGATGTATTTCATTAATTTGCGTGTAAATTTGCTTTACTCAGCTAGAGTTTCAAGAAACTTTGAACAAGGATGTCATGGTAGTTGCTGCAACAAATAGACCAGATATGTTGGATGATGCTTTGTTGCGTCCTGGAAGGCTAGACAGGATGATCTATATTCCACCTCCAGACCTGAAGGTGATGTATTATAATTCCATGTGTATCTTTAATTTAAGAGGTACAAATTGCTGGTGTACTTTAAGTGCGAAGGGGACATAATCCTATATTGAACAACAGAGAGAAGATTCACTGAAAATTAGTCACCAAACTTAAARTATGCAAAGACTTTTAAGAAAAGTAATTTAAATATCTCTACCGGATATATTTAATTCTACTATTACATATAAAAATACTTAAAATACATTTAAATAACTGTTCTTGTAAAGTCAAGCTATAGTTTAGGAAGAAACAGAGCAAGCTAGTTGTCCTTACTTCAGATTTTTTACAGGCCATATTCCCAGTTTGTACTGAGCTTTCCAAAGCAGATCAAATATAGAAAATTTCAGTTTAAAATACTGTAGTTTCATAAAATACTATAGTTTCATAAAATAGAGTTATTGTGAACGGACTTCTACATATTGGTTAATCATCAGAATAAGTATTATCTCCATCAATACCATTTTATTTACTCGCCCACCAAAAGAGTTCCAGTTTTGATAATCTCATTCATTTTCCTTTGTTGAAGTTTTGTAGTGTTTTGAATTGAGAGTAATTATTGGTTTCCTTCTTATTTTCTTGTAAAACATGCACTGACTCACAGGGAAGACTTTCTGTTCTGGAAATCTGCACAAAAAAAATTCCACTAGATACTGATGTGTCATTGCAAGACTTGGCACTTCAAACAGACCTCTTCTCTGGAGCTGATATTGAAAATCTGTGCAAGGAGGTAAGGAATATTAATAGCAATCTATGAAATAGCTTTTGAAAGGTTTCATTTACAGATTCTCTTATAGATACTATGAACTCATCTGTAGCATGCATTTTTTTTCGCAAGTTGTAATTAAAAGATAAAAATGAATACCAAGAGAAGAACTGAACATGGGTTAATTCTTTAAATAAAAAAGCCACATAAGTATGATGTCTATCTTCAATAACTTACTGGTGGGAAAAGTTAAGGAACTGTACTGCCCTTCAATTCTACATAGCCCTTTATAATCCAAGATTAGATAAATTGTCTTCTAAGTGCTGCAAAACAATTACAGCATTTTATTTGAAATAAATATGTACTACCAAGGCTAGAGAGAAAAAAAAAAAAGTTGAGGGAGAAAGGAATCCATATGCATTTGAGGTATTTAAGAAAGAGGCTAGGAGGAAAATCCACAAATGTGCATCAAGAATAATCTATCTAATCCAGTCAAGAAGTATAAAAAAAGGCATACTTAAAAAGTTYAGATATGTGTATAATCATACATAACCATAAATCATACAATGTTGTTTTCAGGTATTTTACCGTAAACTGTAAAATATTTTAAAATACTTGTAACACTTTTAAGTTAATGGCGAGCATTACAAGCACTCACTTGTTTCTTTTTCCCTTTTTTTTTCCTTTAAAGGCTGCTTTGTTGGCATTGCAAGAGAATGGACTTGAAGCAACTACTGTTAAACATGAGCACTTTGTAAAATCACTGAGGACTGTAAAACCATCCTTAAATGTCAAAGACTTGKATTTTTATGAAAAAATCTATAATCAAAAATTTTCCTCTTAAATCAAAAAAGTGATGCAGTATAAATGTTTTTAAATATCTTACAAACCAAAGCAAATGAGACCCTGTTCTTCAATATTGAGATCATGTATCGAGACATGTAAGTTTGCAAGCAAGTACAGTACTAAAAAGCCGGAAAAGTGATAATGAAAATCTCAGCCTTTGTGTCTGCTGAAACTGGYAGTGGAGGGGGAATAATGAAGTGGTTCTGTACATTTTCTCATTCTCAGTATAAACCAGGGAAGAATAAGAAAAATCAATTTGAAAACATGTTGTGAAGTCTCCAACTAAAAAAAAAAAGGGGGGAGTATGAGGAAAAAGTTCTTTGTAGAGAACTGCATATACTAAWGTATAAGATTTTTATATGTGCGCAACTATAAGCTTTCTTTCTGGAAAGCAGATTCCAAGATAAACTTGTAATTAAACAGTTGTCAGTGTTTAATATTTTGTTGTAAGTTGAAGAGTTTTCTGTTTGAGGTGTGGAGCTCGCAAGTGAAGCGTTTGTAGGGTTGGGGAGGATCACCCTAGAACAGCTCCCACTGACTGTACCAACATTTGAATTGGCATAGAAGAGTGTTTATTCTGTTAACATTTCTGTAGCATTTTTTCCCTTCAAAAATATTCTTTCCTCATGTATTTTTATAGGCTATCTTTTGAAAGTCAGAGATGGACATGTAATTTCCTTCTGTATCTAAAAGTCTTAATTTACAAAGGTATGAAATTTGGTTTTCTTCTTTTCCTCATAAAAAATGTTTATGACAGAGATATTCCACTGTCAAAGGTRACATCAATTGAAATACAAACCCCAAAGCTACACATCCACCAACAAATCCTAACCACTCAGGGACCCTGCGGCTTCTCCACAGTGTGGATTACAGTGAGATCACATCACAGAAGGGAAGCCCCTTGGCAGTTAGTAACAACACAGGACAAAACCAGTTGCAAATTGTTGTGTCCTAGGAAAGGACTGCGCTACAACCTGGTGGCTTCATCCTCRCTTCCCAAAAGACTGCCCTGCCCTTTATAGCAGCCATGAAGGCCAGTGTTGTGGATTCCCATTAGTAAGTGTGCCAAAAACACAGAGCGGTAGCTCCTCGGCAGGAATGCTGGTGGGAGTGTGGAGCCTGTGCCTGGTACCACTAGCTGTTGGTGTAGCAGAGGGGACAGGGTGAGATGAGGCTGTTCTTGTCACTCTTCAATCCTTGCCAAGCTCTGGATGGAGGTGGGCATGGCCTTCCCCATGTGTTAGCACACTGCGTGTTCTTTGGGAGACAGACTCAAAAATGGTGTCGCCCGAAGGCGGCAGGTAAGAGCTGAGGTACAGAAGAGAGAGAAGGGGGAACAGCTGCGASTCCCTGGGGGCTGCTGACGGGACAAGACCCCCGAAGAAGGGCGAGAAGATCCGACCGCCAAATGGCGGGCGGGGGCACGACCGGGCTGCCGTGAGGCACCCCCGGCCCCTCCGCACGGCTGCCCCACAGCGGCCTCGCGCGGGCCGCCAGGGGGCGCCGCTGCGGGCTGAGGGGAGCGGGGCGGCCGTCCCCTCCGCTCCCCTCCCGTGCCCTGCCGTCCCTCCCGCGCCCTGGGGCGCGCACGGGCGTTCCCGGGCGTTTAAAAGGCGCGGGCACGTCCGCTGCGGCGCTGCTAGCCCGTCTCGCGCCACCGGCTAACGGGGCTCGTCGCCGCGGCGGGGGGAGAAGGGGGTGTCAGTGCGGTGCCCGGGGACAGTTTGTTCCAGGTGGGCAGCCGCAGCCATGATGCACATGAGCTTCTTCCAGATGCTGAGGGCCAAGAAAGAAGTAAGTAGGCGAGGGGACGTCGGCCGCTCGGCGCTGAGGGGAGCGCAGGCGGCCGCGGCGCCCCCCGCTCCGTGGCTCTCGGCGCCTCCTGAGCGCCCGTCCCCGTGTTTTGTCTCTCAGCTCATCCCCCTCGTCGGAGTCGTGACTTTTGCAGCGGTCGGGGCTGTCTCTGTTTCCATCTATTCCCTCTTCAAGACCGATGTGATGTAAGCACGTATTGCTCGGCCTTTTTACTTATTTTCTTTCTCAACTGAAGAATTTGACCATCTTCGACAAAACAAGTCTAAGCAGATGTTCTGGTCTGGTAGGGAGGACTAAGATAACTCAAGAGGCTTAACCCAGAATGCTAAGGAAACACAGAAGAAGTGGCCTAATTTGTAGCATAGCCCAACCTAATTGCTGATTTCTGCTTTAATGGGCCCTATATTTTCAGGGGGAGGGTTAGCTATAGTGGACTTTAAACTTCTAAAATAAGTAGGATATGCAGACATTTTGCAGTCATAATGATCTGTGTGTAAAGAACAGGATTTGGTAATATGAAATCATTCCGAGTTAATATTTTAATAGTTTAGCTAATAATTTAGAACTCAGATCTACACTCATTAAGTGTGGGAGAGGATTATATTTACTTAAAGGGTACTAGAATGGTATTTAGTCACATTACATAAATCTTTACTCAGCTTTGAATTTCAGTTTCACTTAAGAAAATGCATTATCTTTAAGCACTGTTTGGAAGCAGCAAATACTGAAACTATTTCCCATGCAGAATTTATAAAAAGAATGCCCAAGCATTTAACCTTGTGCTTACCTGTGTAGATAGCTCTGATGACAATAGACTGATCAAAGGGGGAGACCCTAAAATATAAAACCTGTTTATCTTCTTTTAAAGCATTAATAAGACTGGCAATCCAGAACCTTGGGAAGCTATAGACCCTACTCAGCCTCAGAAGGTAATTTATCTGCATAATATAACCTTGACAAAGGCTTTATATTGTTTCTAGTGTAACAAATGATACAATTAAACCTAAAATATATAAGAATTAGGAAAATATTAATGGGAAAAAATGTAAGGCTGACTTTCACCTCTATTTAAAAGTAGAACTAGTGGCTTCATTCTTTACTTTTGTGTAAATAGTCTTCCCTGCATTATTTATTGTAGGAATTTAGCTATCATGTCATTCAGCATTTGGTCCTGAGTTTCTGGGCTGCCTGCAGTTGGTGTTAGGCAATGCAGCTTCTGTTTCCTCAGTTTCCTTGAGAATGAYGGGAATTGGGAGGCAGTGCTGGTCATGCTCCCCTTAGTCAGAGGTTTCAATTTTGACTACAAATACAAGTGTTTCTGTGTGCTACAGTCTGAAGGATGATAAATMAGTTCGGTAGAGGATCTAGGATAAGTAAAACTTATTTAGGAATAGCAGATGTTTGAAGTCAAGTTATTTTGTTCAACAAATTATTAAATGTGTTGTAAGCTACTATAGAAAAATCTTTTCTATAGTATGATAGCAGARGAAAAATATTTTATTGAGTTGTTTATTGAGATTTTACTAATCCGTCTTTCATACTTTTCTTTCTTTTATCCAGCTATTAACAATCCAGCAAAAATGGAAGCCTATAGAAGAGCTGGAAAAGGTCAAAAAGCTTACAAAGTGACAAGTTTCAGTTGCCTCAAAAAAGGTACTCTATGAATCTAGTGGAATCATTTCTGCACAAACTTGACTACTGAAATCAGTGTGCGGAAATGCTTCTGCTACATTTTTAGGGTCTCCCTACATTTTTGGACTCTGGATAAGGACTTCCATGTTGCCTTAGAAGTTGCCATACAACATCCACCTAGTCCAGAAATCTGCCTCAAATATTCAATCTCAGCAGGCATTTGATATCAAATGTTGAATATTCAGTTGGTAATTAGAAAAAAAAACTTCCCACTCTTTTTACTATTTTATTTTACCAAAAATATATTAATTTTGTGATTTTATATATTTTTAAGAAAGCATATATAGATTTTGTTTTTACAACATTCTATTTAAATCCAATATATGGAGATGATCAGAAAGCCGTTTTGGAGTAGGATTCCTAGTCTGCTATCTCTTTATACCATATTTCAGTGCTGTGTACATACTGTATTGATAGTATACAGAGTAAATAGTGTAGGATGACTAACAAYGTCTGTGTATGGCAACATATATGGTCAGAAAATACTCTTGTATAAGGAAACATTTAATTTCTTTGTTAGATGTGATGAACATCTTGAGACAAAATAAAAAGTTCTACTCATTTAAAAAAAAAAGATAGAAATGAGCTTAACTCACTGAACAGTTAATGTTATTTAGTACCACAATATGCTATTTAACACCACATTTAAGACTGCATGATTAGAATGTAAGCCTTCAGCATGATTAAAACAGAAGTCAAAGAAAATCTTTTTCATATTTTAAATATTGTTGCTTAAACTTACAGAATGCTGTTATAATTAAACAACTAGCATTATCCAAAACTTAATATATTRATGGCATTTTACATGCGAGCCTACAATTATCAGCATATTTTTAAATGCTTCTAGATAAATGCTGTTACGAACATCCGCTTTCCCACAGAAAAAATCAACAGAACTGAAAAATAGAAATGCCACTACAAAGATGCATTTCTTTTCTAAGCAGGAAGGTCTTTTCCTAAAGATCTTCTGGGGAAAGGATATAACAGGTGTACCACCAACAAAAAGTTATGAGATCTATGCCTCCAGCTGTAAAACAGCCCTTTCTTGGATGTTTTTTCTGTATGTGTTCCTTTGCAATTATTCACGTATATTACACAGTTTGTACTACCTTGGACGCTGAAAAAGCATTACTTGTTGGCATGAAGAAAGCAAAACAGGAAGAGCTTAACTTTAAAAAGTCCACCTAGGTGAGCAATAGTGGAGTRCTTTAGGTTACTCTTCTTCAGCACTGACAAGAGATAAATTAGTGCTGTCTCACTAACTTAACGTCTATTAGTCTGGCTTTAGAGAAACATTAAAAAGTTAAAATGTTATTTTTGTCCTGCATTTTTGTTGTGGTGCAGCAATATTTACTGCTTTTTTTTTTTTTTTTTTACACTTTTTTTTGCCTTTTTCTCCAAGTAAGGATGACTCAGCAGCATTTATGTCTAAGGGTAAGAGGAACGATCAGAATATGATCTTGGCTTTTATTTTTAAGAAGTGGTTTACAAGATGATTGGATAGCCTGTAACTACAGAAGTTCACTGCTCTAAAAGTTTTGCATTTTTAAGTAGGAAAATAATTTGAAATACATTCTGTAAGTTGCTCTGTATTTTCATRTGCTTAGTAGAATGTATTGATCAAAAATGTGTTGTGCTCTGAGTTGATACATGAATTAAATGAGTTTATCCTTCAGTATATCAGTTGTATGGTCTGTGAATAMTGCAGTGTGTTTAGACATAAGCATTTGTCAACACTAGGAAAATAAATTAAGTCAATTTTACATCAGCATTTTTAGAATGGACTCTGGTCTTCCAAGGCAAGACCGCCAAAAAACCAGGACCCTATAAATAAAGAAAAATTTCAGTGATGAAAAGRGAAAGGTAACAATGGCATACCACCCCCATGGCATCAATTTTTAATCAAGCATAAACTGTTAAAAACACTAATGCAGAATGAGACCTGTATTGGTGAGTAAAATTAAAATCTTTTAAGGGGTAAGTTGGTCTCTTCTTTAGTTCTCTGAAGAAAGATTGAAAATCAGCTATGTAGTTCAGCCTTCCCTATTTCTTCTTGTGTTCTTGTTTTGAATCAGTAGCTTCTGTAAATGGTCAGTCTCTGAAGGAAGTTGGTTGTGAAGTCATTTAGTATTGAAGAGACGCAGGGTGCTTTTTTTAAAATCAGTTAAACAGCTAAAAACTGTTTATCACACTGTCTGATGGGTTTGTTTGGATCCCCTGTAAATATCTAGGAGAAGAAAATACTCTAAACTACTTTGGGTTTTTTTATATATCAAAATTCATCTCTATACAGGCCATTACACAGGGAATATCTCTACAAAGGTGTGCCTTCAGTACTGAGTAATTTTTAACTGCGCTAAAATGATTCTACGCAGGAATGGCACAGTTCTCTTTAGTGCAAGTACTTTTACCTCATGTATATACAAGGAAAATAAAGTTCCTCAAAGAGAAGCCGAACCTGGAGTTATTCCAGTTAAAAAAAAAAAAAAAAAAAGCACTCTAACTTTACCATAATTTCCTCACTAATTCATGTAATTCACATCATTTCTTCAACAGTTCCTTAAAGTGTAGCTCAAGCTGGATGACCCTCACTTCTTTGAAATTTCTGGAAGTTTTATTGTTGACTTCAAATGAAGGTGAAATTCAGCCCTTAATTTTGAAAACTGAACTACTTACAGAATTCTAGTGATCCATAATATGGCTGTGCCAGTTGCAAGCACAACTCTCTCCTCTGCAGTTCTCCCTGCACACCTTCACAGGGTTCATCTCTGCGTCTCCAAAAAAWACCCAAGTAAACAGTTCTATAAAGAAAGATGATGCAAAGGCTGTAAAATYAAATCTTCAAAACACTTCAGAGAGATGTGTGAGGAGGAGAGGCTCTTTTCCTGCTCTACATCCCAATATAGTTCGTATTACTGTAAGAGATCCCTGTATTGAAGAAACGGAGCTAAAAGCTACACAGATGAGATTTTTTTTTCTTCAGTTTTACCTTTTTGTACAAAGAAAAATCAAGTTATCCAAATGCAGACTACAGCCATCATAAAAGTGCCTGATTTGTATAAGGATGTATTCTTATTTGAAAATATTATTTGAATTTTAAAACTGATTTCACTCATCATTATTTAGTTACTCATCAGCCAGTTACTCATGCTCTGTAAACTGCTACAGCTCTAGGAAAAGTCATGCATGGAGCTCTGTTAAACATAAGCCAGTACTTTATGCCATTTCCAAGGTACTTTATATCAGTTTGTTATCACCCAACATACTTATAACCTGGATCCAAAACCTTTGTGTTTTTGTTTTTTATATATATATATATATATCCATATATATACACACGTGATGGTTCATGTCAGCATTTTTCTGCCTGTTATCAGCACCCCCCCATTTTTCTCCAGCAAGATGCTCTCTAGTTACCCCAGTAGCGCGTGTGGTTTCTGCAATAAATAGTAGCTCAAACAGGGGCCTGATGCGATTGCTACAGGAAACTGTTCGTCCTGCACTTGTCACCCGTCGCACTTAGTGCAGCAGCGTTATTGTCCGTAGCGCTGGCTGCAGAAAATAAACAAGAATAATGGGAATGATTCGCTGATAGTTGGTGTTGGAGCTTTCCCAAGAAAGCTTTCAGATTAAATAAACATTGCCACGCTGCTCAGAGCAGTTTTAATTCACTGTCCAAAGCGCTAGCTGCACAGCACATCCCTGCCGTGCAGGGAGCACACCACATAACCAGCTCAGCTGCAAACGCAGCTGAAATGGAAAGTAAAAACCTTAATGAGGAAGTGAATTCATCCAAGAGTTGCTGCTGGACTAAGTAATTATTTACCTTCGAGGTGCTGATTTGAATAGAGAACAGGCAGGTTGTTTGCAGAAAGCTATCTCCCATCATAAAGCAATCACCACTGGGAATTACTCCTTTCAAAGGAAGTCCAAAGACTGAAAACCAGYGGGTTCAAAGGGCCATCTCCCACCTGGCCTCACCCCGTTCACGGAGCAGGGAGGTCACAGGTGGGGACAGCTCCACCAGCCAGTCTGTTCTGTGCCACCACCAGTATTGGCCTCCGGAGCAACCTGCTCACGCTTCTCCTAAGTATGGTATTTGCTAAAAGCTAAATGACCAACTTCTAAATATCCTTGCTAGGTGTTGTGGATTCCCACCGTGAAAGAGGACACGATGTCTTTGTACAAGGAGGACAGCAGCTCCATGCCCTCGCAGGGTGTGCAGACAGCACAGGGAATGAGGGGAGGCAGCAGCCTGCCCGGAACACGCATYCAGAGCGGAGTGCCAGCGTCCCCATGGATGTCCCTGCATCCCCATGCATGTCCCTGTGTCTTGCTCACYCTCACTGCAGCTTCATCCCACAGCCAGCACTGCTGGAGGTCATTTATGCCTTAAACTTTATTGCAATGGAGCTGCCGTGAGCCAGAAGCAAGGTGCTTTATGGTGAGTGCTCTGTCAAAGGCACAGCCTGTAATCCAGCCATCCCGCACAGCTCCTGGTTGTGCCTCCTGCGCTCTAAGAGGGGTGTGCGGGGACCTGGCCCTGCRGAGGAGCAGCGCCCAGAGGGGTCCCAGCCCCGAGGGGGCCCCTGTGCTGCCGTCACCGCTGTGTTCCCCCCAACGCTCCTGCCGCAGCRATGAAGATGGATCAGCTTCCTGTAGGCCGACCCCTCCCTCACAGCCTCCTCTGCGATGGTGCAGCCCCAGCAACCATTAGCCACCGCCACCACCTGCCCTGCCGCCCGTCGGCCATTGCCCCCCGTCCCGGCCGATACTCAGCCGCCCTCAGCAGACAGGGAGCGCCCCGGGCCGGGCGGGCCRCCCGTGAGCAGCACCTCCGCTGCGGGCAGAGGCCCCTCCGGCCTCGCGAGGAGCCGCGGCAGCCGCAGCGCCCAGCGCGCTGTGCGGCAACGAGCCGCGGCCCTCACGAGCTGTCCGCGCGTGCGATGCCGGCCGCGCTCCAGCGCRGCTCACCAGAAACCAACT